CCAGTGGTCCCTTTCTAGCTTCCTGGATTCTACATATACTCCTGATTAAACACAAAAATTTAATGATTCTAAACCTAAGATTTACATAGGAGAGATAATGTGATATTTGTCTTTCTGGATCTGAGTTACTTCACTCAGTATATTTTCTGGCTCTAACTATTTAAATGAAATTTTCATTTTTCTTTGTAGCTGAATAAAATTCCATTGTATATAGGTACCATATTTCATTATATATTTAACAATTGATGGGCATTTAGATAGTTTTCCATGTCCTATATTGTCAGTGGAGTAGCTATGAACTTGGCTGAATATGTGTGTCTGTAGTAGGAAGTAAGAGTGTTTTGAGTATATACCTGTCTTAGTTTATGTTCTATTACTGTGAGGAAGCACCATGACCAAGGTGGATTTGCCTACAGTTTCAGAGAGTTAGTTCACGACTGTCATGGTGGGGAAGTGGTCAGGCAGCTGGCATGGCCCTGAAGTGGCAACTGAGAGCACATTTCTGATCCTCAAGTTGCAGTGGGGGTTGGGGGATAAGGTGGGGAGGGGAGAGGGAGTTAAAAGAGACTCACTGATCGAGACTGGGCCTAGAGTGGGCTTTTCAAACTTTATAACCCACTCCCAGTGATTCACCTCCTCAAGCAAGGCCACACCTCTAATCCTTCCCAAACAGTTGCTTAACTAATGGGACCAATAAACTTTAAGAGGCCATTCTCATTCAAACCACCACAATGTCCATGAATGATACACTTGGACCATATGGTACATCTATTTCCAGGTTTTTGAGGAACTTCCACACTGATTTCCATAGAGGCTGTACCTGTTTGCATTCGTAAGAACAGTGCCTGAGGAGTCCCTGTTCCCCACGTCCTCACCAGAATTTGACTTTCATTTTCTCTTTTCTTTTCTTTTCTTTTCTTTTCTTTTCTTTTCTTTTCTTTTCTTTTCTTTTCTTTTCTTTTCTTTCTTTGTTTATCTGTGTAACAGTCCTAGCTGTCCTGGAACTTACTTTGTAGATCAGGCTGGCCTCAAACTCACAGAGATTGGCCTGCCTCTGCCTTCCAAGTACTGGGATTAAAGACATGCACCAACACTGCCAGGCTAAACTTTCATTTTCTTAATCTTAGCCATTCTGACTGGTATAAGATAAAATTTCAAAGTAGTTTTAATTTACATTTCTCTTATGGGTAAGGATGGTGAACACTTTTAAAAATATTTCTTAGCTCCATGTTTTTCTTCTGAAAACTCTTTCCATTCAATAGCACCCTTTTAAAATGGGTTGTTTTCTTGTTGTTTAGGGTTTATTATTTATTTAGTTCTTGCACATTCTTAACAGTAGTCCTCTGTCAGATGTGCAGATAACAAAGGCTTTTTCTGATTCCTTAGGCTACCTCTTTAACTAATGTCTCCTGTGCAGTAAGAAGCTTTTAATTTCACTAAATGCTATCGTTAATTGTTCTTATTTCCTGGGTGACTGGAGTACTATTTACAAAGTCCTTATATAAACCTGTATCCTGATGTGTACTCCGTGTTCTTATAGAGCTTCAGGTCTAACATTTGATCCACTTGGAGTCAATTTTCATGCCAGACGAGAAAGAAGGCTCTGGTTTCATTCTTTTTGTGTGTAGATACCAGTTTCTCCAACACCATTTGTTAAAGACACAGTCTTTTCTTCACTGTATGTTTTTAGTATCTTTGTCAAAAGTCAGGTGCCTGTAGGTACATGGTCTTATATCAGGGTTTTCAGTTCTATTCCATTGATCAATGTTTCTGTTTTTGTGCCAATGCCAGGCAATTTTTACTATGGTGTCTCTACAGTTTAACTGTGTGATATGCCTTAGTGCCCGAGCTGTTTAGTCTTTGTAACATTCTTGTGTTCTCAGGCCTGATGCTTGCTCATGTGTCTCTATATCTTAGACATATTTTTTCCTTGATGTATTTGTAGGTCTGTAATAGAAAAGGCTTGCTGCGGACTTTCCTAATGGGTGTGCTTTCCTAATGGGTGAAGACATGCAGAGGGGCAGTATGATTGGTGCCAAAGCTCAGGATGTGTGTTTGGGGCTAGAGGAGTTGGCAGAAGAGGTTATGACATTGAAATTTCCAGTGTTGACATAAACAACAAAGTAGATAATAATCTTTAGAATGGGCAGGCAAGGCTAACCCATCAGTGGGGAATATTTAAGTCAGTCTGGTGGAAGTCAAGGACAAGGGCATCACATAGTACTGATGCAGGGTTACCATATGATACACTGGGTCTCCTTAGAGTCTAGGTGAGGATGGCATCCTGGAAGGATTGGAAGGGGGAGGGAATGGAGGTTGTCTGTTAAGATTTGAGACATTTGGTCATAAGGTTCTTCATATTTTATTAAGAGTGATGAGCTAAGGAGTCAAGATCAGGCTGGGGAAACCCACAGAAACAGCTGACCTGAACAAGGGGGAGCTCATGGACCCCAGACTGATAGCTGCGAAACCAGCATAGGATAGAACCAGGCCCCATGAATATGGGTGTCAGCTAGGAGATCTGGGCAGGCTATGGGGCCTTTAGTAGTGGAACAGTATTTATCCCTAGTGTACGAATGGACACTGGGAGCCCATTCCACATAGAGGGATACTCTTTCAGCCTAGACACATGGGGGAGGGTATAGGCCCTGCCCCAAATGATGTGACAGACTTTGATGATCCCCCTGTTGAAGGCCTCACCCTTTCTACGGAACAGAAGAGGGATGGGATGGGGGTCAGTGTGGGGCAGGGGAGGAGGGGAAGGAGAGGGAACTGGGATTGACATGTAAACCAAGCTTGTTTCAAATTCAAAAAAAAAAAAAAAAACATAAAATATACCTTGGCTCAGTGGTAAGTGATTGCCCAGTATGTGGGAGGCCTTGAGCATGAAGCCCTTGGTTCAACCTTTTAGTTGGAACTGTAATAAATAAATAGTTAAGCACTAAAAACAATTTTATTTCTTTTTTATGGAAAAACTATACAATATATTTTGATGTTGTCCCCATCTATCAGTTTCTTCCAGATCCTTTCTACCTCCCTACCTACCCAACTTATGTTTGTCCTCTGTCTTTCAAACAAAACAAAAAACAAACAACAGCAGCAACAACAAAAATTCACACAAGAAATGAAACAAAACAACCCCCCCCAAAAAACAAGAAACAAAAATTCTCCACAAAAACACAAAAATGAGCTGGGTGGTGATAGTGCACGCCTTTAAGTCCCAGCACTCAGGGAGGCAGAGGCAGGAGGATCTCTGTGAGTTAGAGGCCAGTGTGGTCTACCGAGTGAGTGTCAGGATGGCCAAGGCTACACAGAGAATCTGTCTTGAAACAAAACAAAACAAAACACCCACAAAAATGAAAATCAAAGCAAAAAAGCAAAAGACAAATAAGACACAAACACAAAAAGCCCCAACCAAGCAAAATGAAACTAAAAGTACATGAAACAAAACAAAACAAACAAAAAAACCTACTGATTTTGTTTGTTTTAGCCAACTACTCCTGAGCATGGGGCCTTCCCTAAAGTGTGGTTGATATTTCCATTGAGACTTCATTGGAGAAAACTGGTTTTCTTTTTGTCAGAGGGTATCAATTGCAGGTAGTTTCTTGGTTATGGGTGGAGCCAAATTAAAATCAATTTTTTGAAACAGAATCTTACTTCATACCTCAGGCTGGTCTTGAACTTACAATGTATCTCAGAGTGGCCTTGAACTATGTTTTTAGGGAATCTGAACCCTCCTGCTTCAGGCTTCTGAGTGCAGGGATTGCAGGCTGGGACAACCATGCTCACCTTGTCTTTGATTTCTCCTTTCTTGAAATGCTGCTTGTTACTAGAGCATATGTGTTATGATACAAGCCTGATTATTTTTGGTTTTGTGGCCTTGCCGTACACACACGAGCTGACAAAACTGAGCAAGTAGGTAAAGCCTCTACGGGACCATGGCACTGTTGAAGGATAGGTAGGAAAAAGCCACTTTACCCCTGATATCAGCACACTGGGCTGGAGCATTTCTTCTGTGTCCCATGTTCATGACTGTGGAGATGTGATGTCAGTGTTCCTTGTTCCTGTTCCTGCAGTGCAGGTACTAGCAAGATCAGCCAAATCAAAGTGTGTTGGAGTCTTTGTAACTTAAATTTTTAAACCATGTGTGAAATGGAGGAATGCCAGGTTACTGAGAAAACAGCTACACTTACAAGTTTGTTGTTAGAAGTTAGAGACATAAAACAGGGGTGTAAATCTTTGAACTTATTTACAGAAACAATCATTTGATAACTTTAGGAGTAAGAAAGTTTCAACTTAGTTTTGTTTAGCAGTTTCCCAGTCTGATCTTTCAGTCTGGCTTTTTGAATCTGTTTTACTTTAAAAATATGCATGATGATTTCTTATTTTAGTCAAGCCTCAGAAACTAGTAGATCTCCTCATAAACTAGTGTATTTGTATATGAAAAATTAATGGAATATAGTCGGTGTACTATCAGTGGAGTTCTTGGTGTTGCTGTCCAACAAGCAGTTCTCTAGCTGGTCACTAGAGGACTCCAGAGGCTGCAAGGTGCTGCTGGGGCCCTTCCTGATGCTGTGCTGGATGTTGGTGCCCTAGCCTAGTGTCTGTCTCCAGTGTATCAGACAGTCTGGCATTGCTTGATTAGAACCAAAGATGGAAATCCACAAATGTTCTTTCTTATGGGAAGTGCTGGGAAAGTAATAGTTAAAAGTGCTTCTGCAAAATGCTGGTCTAGTTGATTTTTTTTTTTTTGTGCTTTATTCCAAGTTTATTATTTTTTTAAAATATAATTTTGAAAAGTCACTCTAAACATAAACCACAAACACTTAGTGCTTTCTTTAATAAGTATAGATTTATATGAAAAACATATTATAAATTTATTAAGTATAAATATGTATTTTTCTTCTCTCCCAAAGGACGGTTTTATGCTTTCAAATAAAAGCCTACTTGCTCATGAGGTGATATAAAGTACTAAAACATTGTTGCTGTTGTGTTTTCAG